TCAAGAAGCTTCAAAACAGCATCTCAATAGTTCAAGATTCTGTGGTAACTCCAGGATTCAAACGCAAGAGAGCATTTGATCCTTTGGATCTATCTTTATGAAACTACAGCCATGATGGGTGGCAGAGTTATGGAGTTTTGTGCTCTTGAGACGCACCCTCCCTTTATGCAATATAACTTTGTACTAGTTGAGAATTCCTTTATGATTATCTGTATCTCCTTTTTTTGATATTTCTGTACTAGCTTATTAGAAATAATGGAGTTCTCAACAGTGTACTTGAATCTTTGTCTAGCTCTCAGCTTTCAATGATACTAGAATTTCTATGTTTTCAGTATATTGATTTCTCAAAAATCTTCTTCTTCTTCTGATCTATGCTAGACTCATATATCAATAATACTTGTTTCTGGACTGAGATAACTTCTTGATTCAGTCAAGATTCTATGCTTCTTAAACTTTACTCAGTTGTGGTCTTGAAACTTTGCCTCGCGGCATTCTTAAAACCACCAACCATTCAACTTAAACAGTATAACCATTAATAAATAGCTATACTAAACTTTAAGGAAATTATTAATTTTCCGAAAACACCTAGCTTGTGCTAGAGTTCCGGTTAATCTTAACTTTTTCTTACTTTTTCTCGCCATTTCTTATTTATAGCTTTAAACTCATCATTTATCTTTGGGGATAAATACTTTCTCCAAGATAAAAACATATTAGTCTTTACTTTATTAAAAAGACTATCTTTAACTTTCACATGTCCAGATTACTCTTGCTTAACTTCAAAAATTCTTCCGAGAACTTAAATACTTATCTCGGTATCTGGGATGCGTTACTTATTAACTGATATCTTTTAAGGTTCGATTTCAAGTCTCCAGGTAAACTCAGACTTAATAACCCTTATTTCAGGTTTCCATAATTTTCCCGGCTACATGACTATTATATGTCGATACCTTAATCTTTATATTCATTGATTTCTGAAAAGTACTTTGTAGACTTGTTCTTATTCTATAAGTACTAATATAAATAACTTATAACTTCATCTCAAACTTTGCCACTTTTTAACTCATGATATCTAACTGATAAGATATCAAAACTTCTGATTATAAAAATTGACTATTTTCTGGAAACTTTAGTTCTTACGGTTCAGTTTTTCAAGCCTACAGGATCTGATCCGGCTTTTGGTTCTTATTTCAAACCCCCATGATCTTCCCCGTACTTTTGGCTATTATATACTGAAATACAGTTACTTCTTATACTTAGCTCAAATACATTGTCAATCTTTATAATCAGATCTTAACTTGAATCTTTATGGCTTAACTTAGAATGTTCGAGTTCTTTTTCTTAATCTAGTCAACTTGATAAACTAGATTTTAAACTTTAATACTTGAACATATAAACAAATTTCTAGAGTTCGTATATATAAATTCTTATTGAGCATAGACTTAGTAAATTTGAATATATTGAAAAACTTATATAAAACTTTTAACAGCACTTACCTGGTAGTTGACGAGGTGTGAGCGTGGTGTGGTCGGGTTTTCTTGAAACTTCCTGTAAAAACTTTGACTTCTCTGAAAACTTTCTCTTTCAGAAACTTAAACTTCTAGTATACAGAGCATTTAAAACTCTAGCTCTGATACCACCTGTAACACCCCGCTTATCAGAGTAAATTTTTCGCAACTTTTACTTCGAATATACTTAATTCTTTCGAAATCTTTTGCGACTAACTCGGGATGCTACTCAAACTCATCATCTTTAAACTTTTGTCTAATACTTCTTTATACATAATTAAAACAGATTTCCTTTAAACTTGCATTTAAAATACCATAATCATATTTCTCATAATGGTAAAAACTTGAAATAGGAAATTCATTAAAATGCAAGTTCAATACTTAATGTGCATAGCATAAATACTTGAAAACGTTTTTAATTATACAGACTGTTATAAATGTCCGTATCAAAGCTTGTCTTCATCTGAGTCCACTATCCACACCAACACTGCTCCACTCACACCTCCTCTTCTACCTGTTACCTGAAACTAAAACTCATGGGGGTAAGTAACGAATATGGATAATCATAAACCGATATCTGATCGGTAACTTAAACTTTTCTCTTATCTTGCCGATAGTTAATCGGATACGTGTGCACTTTGATGGATATTTATAAGGCAACTAATGGCCTCCATCAGAACTTAGGATGTACTGTTAAGGCAACTAGGAGCCTTCATCCCAAGCGTATAAACTGTATACATACCTCAGACATAATATCATATTATAGTCAATGTAATACCCAGGCTGGGTCCCCACCTTTTTGTCTTTGAAATCATTTGAAAAACGATAAGTGCTGTACTGGTACTGTATATGCAAGTTATATTAAATATAGACAAATATACTAAGTACTATGCTCATATACTCAATAAGATTTTTAGGATTTTTAACTTATCCAAATCTTATAGAAATTCATTAAACTTGCTTTTTCTCAAGTTTATACTTAACTTCTCTTTTTATTTATACTTAAGGTCAATTACTTAACCTTGTATAAATCATGTCTTCATAAACATTAATATGGTATTATACTTAGCATGTCATAACTCAAATGTGAAAATAACTATTTTTTCACATTATACTTGATTTAAACTTAAAATATGCTTACTTTTACCAACATCATCAACATGATTTATAACTTATCTTAATTTAACTTGATCAAATACTTAATTTATCACACATCGTATTTCTCAATTTTTAGATATTGGCTTACACTAAATTTTCACTTATTTAACTTGAAAGTGAAAATAATCTCAAGCCATAATCATCTTTTAATCATAACATTTAATCTTGATATTAATATGTCATACTTAATACAATCTTTATAAAATTGTATACTCAACATATTAAACTTAAAACTTTGTCAAATTGCTCATTACTTATATGAGAATTATTCATGATCATCTCATTTTAACAACTTAGACATTTCATGAATATTCTTGCATATATACTTATTTTTACATATATACCTTCTTATATTCATAACTTATTCATTTCTCATCTTTAAATTATGAAACTTAACAGTCATAATCTCAACTTATAATTAGACATGTCATCAAAATTTCATAATTTTTATCATGTATATTCATCAAGTTATGAGAATTTAAAGTTATAGTGAACATAAACTTCATCTTGCATGTTCATCTTCAAAAATTCATAACTCAAGCTATACTTTGCCAAATCTCTTAATTCTTGTTCTCATGTACTCCTCTTTTATATAAGAATCATTCATTTAAATCATACTCTTCCAGCTTATTCATATCTTTATTAACATCTCATCAAATCAAGCACATATATCATATAATTGATCTTGAACAACTTTAACTCTTTATATTCATAGATACAATTATAAACTTAACTTCTACATCATGATATACATACTTATGTACTTGATGTTTGAATTTCAACTTCATATCACTTCAATTACTCATCTCATGAATTTAATTTAATATTAAGTCAAAGATCCTTATACACATTTAAATCTAAATAATTAAAAGAGTATAGAATTATTACCTTTTTAGGAAATTCTACTAAAAGGCTGAAAATTTGGTTGATGCCAATTTACTCTCGCAATCACCTCTCGTCACGTATATCTCTTTCTCATGCAAGCACACTCTTTCTCACAAAAATACTCGGTAGACTATTATTATTATTTTACCGAATTAAACTATTATTTGGGCTGTATGCTTTATGAAGAAATCTTTTATCACTTTTGAGGTGTATATAAGCATTCTCCATCCGACATAATTGTCACCCACTTGAATATAAAATTTATATAAAAACTAACTTGAATGAGAAGAGAAATATAATCATCTTTTGTCAACTTCCGAGACATATATAAGCTCTCACAATCTGACCTCAACAACCATGAAATAAAAGTTGTTTAAAAATCATAACTTTTGTGGGAGGAGAAAAATAATGGGATAGGATCATTAAATCTCCTACACATATGAGACAAAAATGTTAATAATTCTGAAGAAAATGAACTCACTTGCTAATTGATAATGACCCCCTCAACATTTAAAATACTTAATAAAACTTAATCATGTTAAATGTTTGACCCACAAAAATAGTTTTAAACCACAATTGACCGAAAATAGTTCATATGAACTATATAAATGGAAATTAATCTCTATAAGTAATGACTAGCTCAAGCAAAATTTGTACACGACACTTAAAATTGCTTAATCATCACAATAGGTGACATAATGATAATAACTTAATAATAGCAGAAGTTTGACCCATCAATAATCATTTGAGCTTTAATCTTTCATCACTTAGGCACGTAACTAATAGCTGATGCGAGCAAAATGAATGCGGAAATAAGAAAATTCGAGAATTCTTGGACTGAGCTATTACTTCAAAAATATTCTATTATCTTTGTTAAACTCTGAATTTAATTTAAATAGACATAATGTATAAATAAATTAATTATCTCAAAATATTCTTTATTTCAATTAATTAGACAACTTGGAATAATTAATTCCTAACTTATAAAGTCCATTTCTAAAAATAAATGGACCGGAATTAATTAATAAATTGGTTCGATTACTGAATAAAGTTTTTCCGAGAATACTTTCGACTTAAAGTCGAACTTATACCTGAATAACTTAATAACTGAGCTCGGAACTAAGAACGAGCATTATTAATAAAAGTAGATTAGTTCCAACTCAGAAATAATTACTTTTATCAATTACTGAATGGGATATTACATTTACAACAATCATTTCATGATTCATTTCCCATTTCAAAACAATTTAAATTTTGTAACTTAATCCAACTCCTCCAAAGTTGACCTTCACCTAATTGGAACTTCATTTATTTTGTTCATCTTGGCTGCACCAACCTATAAATTGAGTAAAAACATGATGAAGAAGCTAATATATTATATCAATGAATATATATATAGTAAAAACAGATACATAATTGAAAAAATTATTCGAATGCAAGACATACCAGATCTTAACTATGCTTAAGTTGGTTAAGAACAAGTGTTTCTAAGGTTCCATTGCAATCCATTCCATGTTGCCCATGTGGAGATGTCCCAACCATAGCATACAAAGTCATTGAATTCAACTCGGAAAAAAGAACTGCATCCTTAGCATTATCTCTTTCATTTAAATAAATATGAGGCATATTATCAACACCATCTTCACTGTAAAGAATATGCTCGTCATCCATGTTAAATATATCTCCAAGTTCTCTTGCACCTCTATTATAATGTTTATGAGCATCTGCATGGTTTGGAGGACAAGTGGTGATGATTTCATTCAAATTAATGTTGTTTGCATGAGGCATAGATCCAAAGCTCATTGTCTTCATCCTTGGACTTCTATTCTTCAGTGGTACCATCTCAACATGATCAGAAGGTATATATTTTCTTTTATTTCGAGACAACCAATTCACATTACGACATCTCTACAAGTAAAAACAATATAATAACATAGTATTATAACTATTCATAAAATATAAACTAATCAATCAGATGGAGCAATATTTATTAACTAATTATACGTAATAGACCATATATTCAAATTATCTCATACAGTTCAATGTGCGATATAAGTTCAACGACGTATTTTACCAAATTAAAATAAATCAAGGTTATAGTTTAAAAAATAAGAAGTACATAATCAACATTAGCTAAGATTTTAATGATTTGAGTGCATTCTTGTGCCAAACAACAATATAATTTGAAGCAATTGATTTTATTGATAGATTTTATAGCACACCTGAAGATGACTTGCAACTTGCATTCTAGTAAGGCCTGGTACATTCATCAAATTGAGGATCGCTCTTGGATAGCATCCTATTCACGAGACAAAAAACTTGATTACTAATATATAAAACAAACACTATCAACAAAATGTAATAAGTTGTAAAGCTTTGCTAAAGAGTACATGAACACCATACTTCCTTCTCCAAGTTTTGTGACGGCATTTATAAACTTTTCGTGAAGTTCGTCATCCCATTCTACCCAAATCTTCTTTCTGAACATGCTATTATCATTGTCAAACGTTCCAGAGTTAACCATTTTCACTAATTCCTTTTCTTCAACATTATCGCTTTGTTTTCCTTCCATCAATTCTTCCCCAAATTGATTGGATAGTAAACTAGTATTCTCCATCACTTCTCCATATTGTTTATTTTCTTCAACTCCACCACCCTTTTGAATCACTATTTGCCTCAATAGCTTGTTCATCACATGCATTGTTATTGGCTTGTTGATATAAAAAAAGGCTCCTTGTACTAAACTTCGAATCGTTGTCCCAATCTCACACCTATCCGACACCACTTTGATGGAAATAAAAAATAAAATATTACATTATGGAAATTAATGTAAATGATCATATTCAGAAAAATACGTGACACACTATATAAAATAATTAATTTAAAAAGTAAATGGTAAGAGATACTTACAAATTACAGGTAAATTTTTTTTAATAGCAACTTCAGTTAGTTGGACCGTGCAAGAGTCAGGTGAGTTCATATTTGCTATAACAAAATCAAACTGAGCCTCACAGTTTAATAAAATTGATACAGCTTTGGATGCAAGGTTAACTGCAGTAACTGAAAGAAAAAAATAAAGAAATAAATAATGTCACTTTTTTTGGTACAAATAAATCATGGCACTTTAGTATTTATATATATTAAAAAGGCACGTCATCCATCCACATAAGCGAGGCCATAATTCATAACAAAAATATAGTGCATTATGATCAACTCTTAGTCATTTGGGATAAATAATTATGTATTTTGTTTTTCAATTCGTGTCTTCTTTTGCCAAATTGAAAAGACGGTGCCCCGTAGCCACAAATTATTGTGCTGAAAATGTAACATTTTGCTAAACAATATATCTAATGAATGTTATTTTTTAACTCAATTTTATTCTTTTTTATTTTGCAAGTAAAATAACTAGATTAATTCAACCAATGTCAAGGAATCGACAGATCCCGTAAAAAAGAAGAGAAAAAAGACGGCATAGATTCTGTCCAAAGAAACAAGCCAGACGCCCCTACAGCCTATTTGGCTAGCTCATGAGCAATTACATTATTTGATCTAGCAATATGACGACAAACACCACAATTCAAGTATGACAAAAGGTTGAGAATATCTTCAATAACATGTTGCAACGTGTCATTTGAAAGGCGGCCAGTAATACCACAGAAAAAAGCATCAGTCGCCGCGGTTTGGATCATTAACCTAGATTCCATAGTACAACGGAGTCCGAACCTTAAATCTATAGCAGCTACCTGGGAAAAGGATCTGGATTGTCGATATGCAAAGACGGCCCAACACACTCCCTTTGAGTCAGTGATCCATCCTCCAAAGCCAATTGACTCCTCACGTACAGCAGCATCATAAAAAAGGGTGAATCCATTTTTGCAAGTGCCAGGCCCTAAGCCAAGAATCAGCCGTCCCCAGGGTCAGTGGTCGATTTGAAGGGCAGCGCATGAATTTACAAGACTCACCTCCTCAAGCCACCCTCGTCCAGATGCCAATATTTGTTCAACACTTCTCCCTGCCTGACCATGTCGTAAACGATTTCTCTCTTGCCAAATAAGCCATAAAAGAGTGGCAAACATATTGAACTCATCTCTCTTAGGTCCATAAAAAATGTCAGTAAATATCGAAATAAAGTCTCTATCACGTCGGCCCGCTAGAATGTCCCACCAACTAGTTAATTTCGAAAGAAGGTTGACCCATTTGCAATCAAAGAAGACATGGGCATTCGATTCCCAACCTCCGCATCTGTGGCATTTAACTTCCACATTTATGTGCCGCCGAGCCAAATTCTCGGAAGAAGGAAAAGCCTGATTGCTCAGTTTCCATATAAAAAGTTTAACTTTCGGAACAACATTTATTTTCCACAAGGTTTTCCACCACCTCATATTGCTATTCGAACAAGTTTCTCGGGAGTCATTCGGGAGGGATTTCAAAAAATGGTAGCCAATTTTCACCGTATAAGAACCACTTTTCGAGTGGTGCCAAATTAATCGGTCTGCAGATTGGTTAATACTCAAGGGAATAGAGAGAATCTTTTGAGCATCAATGGGTAAAAAAATGTTATTAATCAAATTCTCATTCCAAGAACCACTTACCCCGATGAGATCCCACTCGATTTATGCCAGCCACGCGTCCGGAAAATGGATGAAAGTGACGAAAATTGGATTCGTAACAAAGACGTGTAAGAGTTTTTTATTATTAATAGGTCATTTTTCTTTGAGTTATATAATTGCACCTTATTCTCTTCTCATATCTCTCAATAGAAAATCCTAAATTAATAAAATACTAAACTTTGGATTATTTAACCCTAGTTGTATTTTATTCATGAAAATAATGAAGTTGGACACTACAAGAAAATGATGAAATTCCAATGGAAATATATTCCAATAGAATTCCAGCGGCAATTCAAATGGATATTTCAATGCTATTATTTCAGTTGGAATTATTCCAACGAAAATTCCAACAAAAATATTCATTGGAATGAGTTTTCCATTGGATTCCAACGGTAGATTTTTCAAAGGGGAAATAAAATTTCCAATAGAAATTTCTAAGGTGAAAAGCCATTGGAATCATCAAATTTCAACTAAAATTCCAATGAAAAATACATTCCAACGGAATATTTTTGTTAGAACTTCTGTTGGAATGATTCCAACGGAAGCTATATTATTGGAATATCTGTTGTAATTTCCATTGGAATATATTGCCATAGGATTTTTCGTAGAATATAACAATTTTTTTGTAGTGGGAGTTGCGGTTGGCAGTGGCTAGAGATGGCGTAACTTCGTTATCTATTTGTTGTGTACAGGCGTTTCTTGTTTTGTATTTCTTTGCACTGTTTATTTTCTTTTTGTAGTAGTGCTTTTTTTGTGGGAGTATTTTCATCCGGTATGTTTTTCGTGATACCCAACAAGTGGTATACAAGAGAAGGTTTGACCTAGGTCCATTCGGCGGGGAGGTAATGTATTCGAGTTCTGGGTATTTTCGTCAGGTATGTCTTCCGTCATACCCCAACAAGTGGTATACAAGAGAATGTTTGACCTAGGTTCATTCAGCGGGAAAGGTATTGTATTCGAGTTCGAGATGGCCATGGAGACCAAGGATGCATCAATCTATTCATTCCATCAAAGACAGTGATGCCGAAAGTTAGACTCCCGGTTGAGATACTTTATGTTACTAGTCATTTCGGCATGTGGCAAGGTCAGTTGTTGAATTGTCTCTTTCAACGGTGTTGACCTTTCCATCAAATAAGAGAATCCAAACGTTGTTGATGAGAAGGATTCAAAGAATATAAATTTCATTAGCATGTGGAATAATTCATTCGTATTTTCCTAGAGACAAGAAGTGCGTGTTCAAGAATAAGAATTGTGCTCACACGCTGTGGAAGTCTTTGGATGGAAAATTTTCTATAGTGGCTAGAATAAGCTCCTCATGAAAAAGAGACTGTTCCAATTTGAATATCGTTATGACACACCGATGAATAATCACGTCATTGCATTTAACAATTGGTTATAGATTTGTTGAATTTGGACGTCACATTAGGCAATGCATATTTTACTATGACTTTTTTTTTTATCATCTCATCCCGATTAATTCGAGCACATGTAGACTACCTTAGACCATGAAAAAGACGGTATAAATCTTTCTATAACAAGTTCTATTTTGTATAGCTATCTGTTGAGGAAGAAGAATAAATATTACACGATGAATGAAACAACAAAATATGAAGAATTGGTTAAAAAATCATTTGTAGATCCAAAAGAAGAATAGACGAGGTATATCAAATTCCAAAGTCAAGTTTGACAAAGACGAGTGTGCTACCTACCACGAGAATAGAAAATTGAAGAAAGACTGTTTGCAATTGAAGAAACAATACAAATCTACCCAAGATGTATATGTTCTCGAGGGTGAAAGTGATGGCTTGGAGTTTTCACGTGTAGTTTCAACTTCATTATCTCATTTAGATGAAAACATTTTGGGTTCTTGATTCACCTATCATATATCTCCGATAAGGGAGTGGTTATTCATTTTTTAGTAGATGAAAAGAGGAGTTGTTCATACGAGATAGGGTCAATGCAACTGAAGAATCGTGATGGATTGATCAGAGTTACGATTAATGTTCGATATATATATTTTGATTTTGAAAAACAATATAAACTCAATAGGAAGTTTTATATCCAAAGACTTGATTATGATTTTGCAGATGGTGTTATGAAAGAAACATCAGCTCACTCGTGATATTGAAAGGCATTAGGAGGACTAACTTGTATTACTATATAGGTTGTATGGCAATTGGGACAACAACAATAGCAGATTCCATCAACAAGGAGTTAGAAGCGACCAAGTTATGGCATATGTGGTTAAGACATGCTAGTGAAAAATTCTTGCAGACTTTGCAAAGAAAAAGGCTATTAAAAAATGTCAATGTGTGCAAACTACTCGTGTGAACATTGTGTTTCGGGAAAGCAGAAAAGGTAATGTTTAGAACAACCATCCATAATACCAAAAGCGTATTGGATTATGTTCATTCAATGTTTGTGAAACTTTTAAGCGTTGGTTTGTATACTAAATTTTTTGCTTTGGTTTGAACCAATAATCATTTTGAGTGAGAATTGAAATTAGTCAAAAGTTTTCGCATTTACATTTCGTGTAAGGCAATGCAACTTGTTCAATTATTTTATATTATATATTATATGGTATATGTCATTACATGGAAAATCGTATTATTAGTTCCTTCTAAAATATAAATAAGGTTCACAATTGAGATCTTGAAATGTTTGTAGCATAATTTGTAAATAGTTTTTGTCTTAACTACCGAATTATGCTAGTGCACTTTGTATGTATTGAACTAGACATTAGAGGATAATTTCAGTTTTACTGACAATATAAATAAAGTAGACATCAAGTATAGATTGTACTATTTTTTTTTATTTTATTTCTTTTTTTTTCGGAACGATAGGAATCACTTATATTCACAATACAAACGAGACTAGAGAACAGATATCCAGCCGAATTTAAAGCCAAACGGCCGAATAATCTGAACAGCTGACTCTAGTAGGGAGGACTACACGTACATATCGACGGCAGCCGAGAGTTTACCTACACCAAAATACAACTAAAAAACTCCTAAAAGAATTTTAAAAAACAAAAGCTTCCAACAGGAGAATACACCAAATACATTCCTAACGGGAGAGAAGAAAATAAAAC